ATTTAAGTCAAGAGGGAAGTCTGTCCGCGTGTAATCTCCTCCGCCCAGTGTACCACAATTAGCAAACCGCTAACCCATTTCTCATTTGAGCTAGCGACATTCCCTCACTTGTTGGACTGAAAAGAAAAGCCACAGATTTGGACCCGAATCCTATCCTGTACAGCAGCAGCCTGTGGTTTGAGGCAATAGACCAGAAACATAGCAAGCTAGCAAACAGTCAGTACAGGGAATTGTCAGGCAAAATTAAAAATCAGTTCTTCTACTGTATATCTTAATGGTATGTTTATTGAAAAGTAAAGTGGTATTCAAGCGGTTAGTCAGTCATGCAGTCAGTTTGTGGTTGGCATTGTTGACGCAGGGAGTCTATATGCACCACTCACAGAAACCGATATTTATAATGCACTTCCAGCAAAACAGCATGATAGAAAATAGTGATGAAGCTATAAATGTTACGTGCAACAAGTCAGCATGTGATTTGAATAAAACAACCATTAAACTCCACTACATTTCAGTAATCTACTTGAGGTATAGCATTTAGTTGAGCTCATTTCAGAAACACAACTGCTTTGCCAACATCGAGCAGCCCACAGACTTTGCTTTTCTGAAGATCATGGGAAACCAAGCGAAGCCCAGATAAAAAAATATGTGGTTGGGGTAACACAGATGTTGGATGAATATGGAGTGAAACTAGAAACCATAAATTCAAAAAAAAAAAAAAAAAATCCACGGGCACAGTCCTGTGGTGCTTTCCTTCTTGAGGGCAAGTCCAAATTAAAAGCTTTCTAATGAGTGCAGCCTACATAGTACTGACCTTTGAACACCAAACTACCACAAGTTTCAGTCACAACACCAGACGTCTGTTTTGATAATAAAATTGCACGTGCAATCCACATTTAGGAAGTTAAGGAAACCCGATAATAAAAAATAGAATGGTTGCGGCAAACATTTTAAATGGATGTTACATTTATATAACGCTTTTCTCCGCACTCAAAGCACTTTACATTTGGAAGAGCGAAATATCCTTAAAGTCCCTATGAAATCAAAATTGACCATACTTACTTTGTTTGCCTAAATTGATCGTTTTGTGGTGAACAATTCATACATGCAAGTCAATCCACACAAAAAATTTTTTTGGCTTCGTAATCTTTAATCAAAGTTTGAAAATGCCCCTCCCCTCTGCATTGGAGGACCTTGCCCGATGACGTAGGCTTTACGGTTTGGGCGTCTCCTTAACATCCATAACCACACCCCTCCAACTGACAGCTGCTGTGTGTTTGCGAGCGCCGAGCGAGCATTGATTGACAGCGTGTGTAAACTTGCGTTCTAGATCCAATCAGGTGCTAGTTAGAAAAAAAAGCCACGCCCACTATTTTGCCTCATTTAGTATTCCGTTTCTCTCCGAAATACGTCACAACACTGGAGAAAAGTCGTTTGCAACTTCCGGTTCACGGGGACTTTAACCACCATCAATGTGCAGCACCACCTGATGATGATGCGACGGAAGCCATATTGCCAGCTTACTGGAGGAGAGGCTCTCCAGGAGCACAATTTGACACTCCTGCCCTAATCCTGACTATTAGACTTAAGTGCATAATTAGTGCGTAATTATGGGGGGTTACTTAAATTATTTTTTAAGTAATCGGATGATTGTCTTTATTATGAAGACAATTTATTGGCTCAAGCCAAACGTAATCGACTTTGATTTAAAGAATCAAATTGTTAACCCGAAGGTTGCGAATTTGATTATCAATACCAGCAGGAAATGACTGAAGTGCCCTTGAGCAAGGCTCCTAACCCCCAATCGCTCCCTGGGCGGCGCAGTGAATGCCTGTCAATGGTTTGAAGTGTGTGTGTGTGTGTGTTCACTACTCACTACTCTTGATGTTTGTGCACTAACTTGGATGGACAAATTCCAATCATGGGTTACCGAGCCCGTTCTCATCCCAAGGCGTCATATACGACGCTTTTGCCAAAGCGTAAACATCCAACACACATGGCATCCTTTAGCGTCAAATGAGACGCAGATATGGGGCAGAAGGTGCCTCCTAGTGGTCTAACCCTACCCCATACCTAAACCTACCGTAATCGTTTCATTTGACGCTAAAGGGAGCCATGTGCGTTGGATGTTTACGCTTTTGCAAAAGTGTCGTATATGACGCTTTGGGATGAGAATGCGTTGGGTTACCATGGGTTAACGTTTCCTTTTAAAGTCCTGTTACCCATGTACATACTATGTACTTATTATAATAATTACAATTACTGGGTAATAACCAAGGAGGTAATCCATCAGCCGGAAGTTGAAGCCTCACGGGAGCCACCGTTGTAGCAGAACTTCACCTGCTGTTAGCATCCCATTGACTCCCATTCATTTTGGCGTCATTTTGGTGTATAAAATGCTCCATTACTTTATACCTTACGTTACGGTAAATAGGCTAAAGATTACGTCATAACCACGGGACTTTCTGTCGCACAATAGACACATTACCGTATAGACAGGAGAAGAAGCTCGCAGGCAATCTTTTACTGTCTATGAGGCATTCGAGGAGACAAGGAGGCACAAAGTCAAGGTAGAAGAGAGTCCATAAAAGCAACGGGACAAAATATTTCAACGATGTTTTTGAGGAATTAGGTGATTCAGATTTGTCGTGGCACAACTACTAGAAGATTTTCAACTATCAGACTGTCGTCATGCTGAGTTTGAGCCTGCGCAGTCCCTCAGACATCAGACAGGAAGTGCAATAATCGGGCTTCAGTCTTCTCCGCTTAAATCAATGGGGTCGCTCTGTCCATTCATTTTACTGTCTATGGTAATAACTAGGTACCAACCCTGCAACTACCCCTAAACCTATCCCTAACCCATGTACTTACCTTATATTAGCCAGTACTTTCTAGCTAAGTACACTGTAAGTACACGCAAGTACTGTACTGTAAAAAGGAAGCGTTACCGGTTGGCCTTCACATGTCACTACTTTCAACATGAGCCAGTAGAAAACAACAGAAAACACCCTGAAAACGATCTAGTAACACTGTCAACCACCCTGGGAATTCCCCATAGCAACATTAGAAACCCCTGAGAACACCTTAGCAATCTCATAACAATGTCTTGGCAATCACCCACTACATTCTAGCACTGTGACTTGACGTCCGCACTGGCAACCACCACTCGTTACATCTATGAAAAATCTCACTATATGAGAATAAACGGCTTAAAACACAATGAGTCAAAGACGGCTGATTTTAACCATTTGACTTAAGTTGTTAAGCTACCAGACAACATTAATAGTACCGTGTGGGACTATGAGGGCTTTCCATTGAGCTACCGTCAAAACAGACGCAATAAAGTTTCACCACCTCATTAATGTCACTCTTTTTCCCTAGTATTATAAAAGGGAAACCCACATGCTGTTTCAGCCTGTGCTGGTCAGATATCTATCAAAGAGCTTCTGTAATTCTTCTAATATATGAAATGCTTTGTCTAACTGACTGTTCAGGAATAGATTACTAGAAGGGAATAACTTGATGCATACTTGAATCAACTGTGAAATGTTACAACTGCAAACACAAATCACACCAAATACCAGGTTTGTGAGAAGCAAAAGGTCTTTTAAGTAACTCTTTCAGGATTAAGGACTGTTCTGAACCAGTATCCCGCAAGCTCACAACAGGTTGATACTCAGTGTCAGACAAGGAAACCGTACCAGCACGAATGAAAGGTTGCATGGAATTATTATGCCATTACTACTATGCCAGATGTCAAGATGTCAAGAAAATTATGTGTATATTATGTTCACAACTATCAGATAAAAGCACTGAATTCTTGCTAAAATGCGGGAAAACTGTCACGTAATTACTTTAATTTGAGCTATTCGAGGGTAATAGCTGTTCTGCCAAACAAACTCTCAATGCAAAAGCAATTAAGTAGACACTATTTAGATTATCACCATTTGTATCGAGAACCAGTCATCCGTCAATGCTTGAGATGCAGACAGACACTGTATGACTTTAATTATTTATATTTCCGCTTTCTGAGAGAGCCAGCATTACCACAGGCCCTCTATCTCAACACTTCGCCCTTAATTTGGCAAACCTCATCCAAAAGGCATTAGCCAGATGCAGTTCTTGCTGCCAAGAATCAATTTTCATTGTTAGACTTGACAGACTTTTAATTAGTGGTGTTTCTTAAGGCAAGCATCAATATATTGCTAATAAAGGATAGTGATTTGAAAGAGGAGAGGTGTACTATTACTTTTCCAAACCATTGGATTAACTCGGAATATAAAAAAACAGGAAAAAGCTCCATAGACTTTTATTGAAGGAAGGCCATATCTAGAGACTATAGCTAATCAACCACATTGAACACCTCAGCAACCACTCAGAACAGCCTAGCAACCAATCAGAACACCCTAGCAACCAATCAGAATGGCCTAGCATTGTTGCAGTAAGTTTTGGATAGACTTGGATAGAAAAAAAACCCAAAAACTGTTTCTCATGAGTCCAATAATTGTATTAGGACGGTTCCCAGTGTATACTAATACATGCTGGTCCTACAGACCATTTCTGCAGTGTGTATTGTATGGAATCACAAAGATGTAAGCAATGTAGCCAAAATAGTTTTCCATCTGTTGCTCACTTCCATCTGTTGCTCACTACGCAGAGGGGTTGACCTGGTGCCAAATTTAGTCTCTATTTTAGCCACATTTCAAATTCTTGCCCTCTGGGTCATATAGGGTGATTTATCAATAGTAAATCTTTCAATGAGAACACACTTGTGACAAAAACACACATTAACAATGGCAAGGTAACAGCACCAAAACCAGGTTTATGAGCTTCTATAATGCGTTCGTTTGGGTCTGATTTCAAACAAACTAGTTCTCTAGTACTGAAATGCTTTTCTAGCGAAGAGGAGTACAGTTATGAGCCTTAACAATGTATGTTAGTGTAAAAAAAATAAAAAACATTTTTTTGGTGAGACTGTAAGAACACATTAACTCAGAACTTAC